GCTTCGAGGTCTGTAAAAAATTTCTGGGGAGCATCTGTATCTTCCCTTTTTCTAGCTGATACCAATTGGAAGATACCAAATCGAAGGTTGTCTTTATGCTGAAATTATTCTAATAATCTTGTATAAGATTCCTTACACAAATACAGACATGTTATCGTCTGAGAGCTTCCTAGACTAATTTATGTGGAAGGGGTCCATGTGTATTAGCAAGGTCTAGCCACAGTATGACTAGTTTGCCCTTCCCTTCTTTTCCTTCTGTTAGGAGCTGGGTTATCACACTCTAGGCAACCTGGGATTCCTGCAGTCTCATCCTTCTATACAAAAATTTCATAGTTCAAATCTAGAATGCGGCATAAGCAGTAAAAAAGGTGAACAGTTGAAATGGTTTAAATTTACAGAAACACATATACATACTCACAGGCAACTTAATCTCCGGAAGATAGTATCAGATGAGCTTGAAAGTAATTGGGAAAATGAAAACTATTTGAAAGAAAATTTTGGTAATTTTCTTACTCAATTTTCTAAGTCTACAAAAAATGAATCTGTGAACTTGTCTAAATTATTTAACCAAACATGTTTGAATGAAAATATGTTGCCTAAATATACATCCAACATACATATATATATATATATATATATATATATATATATATATATATATATATATATTCTTGTTTTATATTTATTCTATTCAGCTATTGTTGCTTGATCATCCGACTAATTTAACATTAATACTTGTTCTAATCTAACTGATAACTTGTTTGTAGTTGGAAATCGTCCCCTCCCCTACCTCTGGAAAAAAAGGGGAAAAATGTCCCCTTCACCCTGCGTTTTTAATATGTCTTCAGTATTCTTTGGCCCTGTGGCTTTGTCTTTTGCTCGATAAAAAAAAAAATTTTTTTTTGACCTCTGGAATCGTTTTTTGCCGTTCGTTTTCCTCGTGGTTTAAATATTTTATTAATGCAAATTCTCCCCAAGCCCACTGTTGGGGATGGGTAGGAATGGTCACTGACCGCCCCCCAGCTTTCGTTATTTGTAACTTGACGCTTGGGTCTGAGACATGGCTAGCTGTACAATCACTGGGTTCACTGAATTGACTCAAGAATAACTTTCCGCCATGTGTGAGTATAAATTCATTCTACCAAAGACGCATCCGATAGCATATCTATCTATCTCTCTCTCTCTCTCTCTCTATATATATATATATATATATATATATATATATATATATATATATATATGAATGTGATGACTAATTTAACATTAATAAAAAGATAACTTGTTTTGTGTAGAAATCGTCCCCCACTACCTCCTCAAAAGAGAAAAAAAAAACTTTCATTTAGAACATTGGGACTTAACTGTTAAAACTTAGTGTTGTATAAAATAAAATACTAAAAATATTCCATCCTATCCCCCTTCATTACAGTGCCTTTATCTGTTTGGACTTTACCCTCAAACCTCCCCTTCCCTGGACAAGTGCAGAGGCTCACACCTTGTTTCCTGTCTAAGAAGGGGTTCCGGCACTTTTTCTCTCTCTCTGGCCTCTGTAACGAGTTGGCGTGCGCAGTCTGTGGCATTGCCTCTTCAACACGGTTGAGTTTATGTTGTTTCCGACTTGGTTAGGAGCCCTAATGTGAGTGTCTTGAGCGGCCCGCTCTTTAATACCGGGGTGTTTGTATTTTGTTCCCTTGGGCAACCTGAGGCCAGATGACAACGCTGCTCACGCTATGGTCGATTGATCTCAGGCCTTCTCATCTTCCAACAAATAAACTCCATTGAATCAAAAACGTAAAAATAAACCAGCCCGCAAAATCACCTAAATATATATATATATAACAAATGCAGTTTGAATCTTTCCTCACTGCAAACTGCCCGATATTTTATATATTTTCTAATCTCTCGATTGCTACCTTCCTCTCCTCAGGAAAGACTCTCTAACATGCACGGCCTTGGTGTTACGTTGACCATCTCCCCCCCTGGCCAGAGAGCTGTCTCTCGAATATGTGTCTCCGACTATCTCTCCTCAATGCCGTAAGCTATCTCTTCTTCCTCTATCGCTCTTCAAGACTGTCGGATACTTGATAGCATATCTGACAGTTGACAAACCCGTTTGCTCATATAAAATGCCCATCAAACAAAATGGCTCGTGAATGCTACTATGACCGGGCTGGCATTCAAACATTTAACTTCTCAAAATTCACGCAGATAAATGGCCTCTTCTTGAAAAATTTATTCAGCTCTGCCCGCTTGGCAACTCTGATCACGCTGTGGTATCTGTCAACGTTTTCCCTTCAACTCCACGCCTGAACCTCCCATGTGTTTATATATCGTTATGTCCCCTATGTTGTCTTTTATATATCATATATATATATATATATATATATGCCATCGCCCACAGGAATCACTTCTTTTATATGTGACATGTCTGACTGCAATAGACGTGTGTGTGTCCTATATATATTTGTATATGCATCTTTGGCTCCAAAGATTACTGGTATAGGTCCTGAATAAACGAAAACCCTATACCTCCTTTATTAGTTAGGTCTTGGACCTCCCTACCGACAAGGCTGAATGCTTTGCTCGGTGTATTTATATATATATATATAGAATGAGGCCTTACTGACACACCCCACACATTATCTCCACTTTAGACCCCCACACTATATACCAGCCATTCCTGAAGAAATGATATCTAAACTGTATAATTATAGAATCATGTTTTCCTGACTGGAAGTCCTCATTCATTGTTCCTGTGTTTAAGAACTCTGGAGACCCCTCTCTAGCCCCATAATTACCGTCCTATTAGTTTTTGTTTTTTAGTGGTTAATTTTTCTTTCAGAGTAGCTGATTTTCTTTTGCCATTCACTGAAATTTTTTTTCTCGACATCATCCAAAGCATTTTTGTTCATTCCTGTTTAAAAATTATTTCAAACCTATTTTGAAAATATCTACTGAATAAAGAATCTATGCAGACGACACTACAATTTACCCTTTTTTGTCTTGAAATGGACCTCAAATCAGTTGTTTGGGGCAAGAATTGGCTGGTCAACTTTCATAAAACTAAAATTCCTCTCCATTAACCACCATTCCTTTTCCCCCCATTAAAAGATAGTCAATTCCTGAGAGCAACTCCCTGCGTCTGCTTCCGGTCTCACGCTGACTGCTGATTGAGATGGAACAAATAATCAATTGCTTCTTCCACCGAGGAAAACCAGGAAACTGACTTAAATATATAAAACAACCATTCGCCCCTTTTTATTTCATATATTTTTCTTTACCTCGGAGTTCTCGACAAGATCCAGAGAAGGATATTTTTTTTTATTTTTTATTTTCTTGTCTTTTCTACAAATACTTCCATGGTAACTGCTCTGATGAGCTATCTCTTTTTCATCCATGAATTTACCTCTTCGTCTCACCTTACACGTAGGAACCTTCAAATTTATCTTCTTTCCAATAGCTTCATACCTATTTGACCTCTCGCCAGTGGAACACCCTCCCAATTTTTTTTGCTATAATTTTTCAAAATTTGTCAAGACATTCCAGTTACCTTGATCTACCCACTATCCTCCTTCTTCCTTTCTCCCATTCTTATCTGCTCTAATCTTGGAGCACAATTAAAAAAAAAAAAAAAAAAAAACTTGTCTAAATTATTTAACCAAACATGTTTGAATGAAATTCCTACATAATACTTCCTCTAAGACATCAGTCTGTTTCTGCTTAGACAAAATCATTGCAATCATTTTTTGTTTTGAAAAATTTCATTGAATGTCCACTTTTATATATATATATATATATATATATATATATATTTTGTTTTCAAACTATTTCCCCTTCTGAGGGACTTTATCAAGACATCTTGATGAAGTTCCTTGCCCTAAGAATAGTTTTTTTTCTTTTTTATTTTTTCCTTTTACAGATACACTTGATCTGAAAATAACTTTATATATATATATATATATATATATATATATATATTTCGCCATTTTATATTTTTTCAATTGCATACATGCATATTTTTCAGACATTTTAATTCTATATGTTTTCTTTTTGCAAAAATTGAAAATGGCAAAAATTTATTTCACTTTGTATGTGTGTTTATATATATATATATATATATATATATATATATATATATATATATATATGTGTGTGTGTGTATATATATATATATATATATGTATATATATATATATATAAAATATATATATATTATATATATATATATCCTATATTATATTAGATAGATAAATAGATAGATCTTTCTTTTTCTGTTATCTATATTCAGCCTTTTTAATATTTTTATTTTTATATTTTTCTTTCTGAGTAGAATTTTTCTTTTCAGATTCATTTTTTCTTCTCATTCTTTTGTTACAAAATTATTTCAAACCTATTTTGAAAGTATCTACTGAAAGAATTGTTCTTTTTTTGTCATGTATCAAAACTTTCTTATATATTACTTATATCCAATCTATCCTAATCACTTTTCAGATCATTTAACATTCATGTAATATAACCATAACTGATAAATTCATTCTTTTATTTCATTTTTCTTTCCTATAGTTTTTTTTTTTATTTTTATTTTGTTGGTTGCCCTTTGCGTTCATATCTTTTTTCATCTTTACCCTCTTCGTCTACTTTTATCTTCTTTACCCTATTTGACTTTCTCTTTCTTTTTTGCTTTTTTAATTTACAAGATTTGTTCATTTCTTCCATTCTCATTTAATCTTTCTTTTGAATTCATTCCTATAAACTTCCTCCTCTCCATTCTTCTTACATCTTATTTTTTTTGTTTTAAAATTTCATTCACCACATATTTTGTTTTCCTATCCCCTTCGTTAAGACCTCTTCTCGTTCTTTTCTTTATACTTTTTTCTTTTCTAATTAACTTTCTTTTTTTGTTTATATTTACTGCTGTCTTTCAATTTCAGACATTTTTAATTCTTTCTTTTTGATTTCTTCACTGAAAAATATTTTTATTATTATTTTTCCTTTATCTTTAGTTTTTTTTTATTTTCTTCATACTTCTATTCATTGATTTCTACTTTTTTCCTTTTAATTTTTCTTTTTCTACTTCCTCTTTCATTTTGTTTCTCTTTTGACATCTTTCATTTTGATACAACACTCTTTCTTTCTTTATTACTTTTTCTCACTTCTCTTTTCTCCTCTATTTCTTCATCTATCTCAACCTGTTCATCTATCTATCTATCTATCTATCTATCTATCTATCTATCTATCTCAACCTGTTCACATCTATCTATCCCAACCTGTTTATCTATCTCAACCTGTTCACATCTATCTATCTATCTATCTATCTATCTATCTATATCAACCTGTTCACTATCTATCTATCTCAACCTGTTCACATCTATCTATCCCAACCTGTTTGCATCTATCTATCTCAACCTGTTCACATCTATCTATCTATCTATCTATCTATCTATCTATCTATCTATCTCAACCTGTTCACATCTATCTATCTATATATCTATCTATCTATCTATCTAAATTAATTAATTCTTGGGCTAAGGGACATAATTCTTATTTCCCTTTGTTTTCCTATTCTTTAAATTACTTTAATTCCTTTTTTTTCATAATTCCTATTTACTTAAGCCTTATTTATGGACAATTTTTTTTGTTCAATAAATTTCTTTCTTTCTGCCTTTCTTTTTTTTCATGCCATTTTTTTCTACTTGCTGTCTTAACATTCATTAACATTCATTTTTCTTAACCTTCATTTCTGCCTGATTCATTTCTAACTTTACTTTTAATTAGACTTCGTTTTATTCCTATAACTCTCTTTATTATCTTATTCGCATTTAGACATTTTGTCCTTTTTCTTTCTGTTACCTATTTGTATTTTAATTTTTTTTTATCTTATAACCTTTCTCACTGTAGTAATAAAACCTATTATCATTATAACCATTCTCTATCCCCACTCACTTTCTCTGTTTTCTGCTCTTTCAGCTACCACATTCTCTTCACCTTTGCTCAATTCAGGGTCCCTGTCAAAGAATAAGTCTTGATATTCTCAACATTTTAGCTATACCCTTCAGGAACTCCACCCCCCCTTTTTCTATTGAAGTCATTACCCATGCAAGCTACAAGCCTTTTCACCACCACCTTACAACCAATGTCTTACCTCTTAGCTTCAACATACAGTCCTGGCCCCTCAGGCAACCGCTTTATAACCACCCAGTTGGTGCTCGACAAAGTTTGATTGATTATGGCCAAAAGCCATTGATCACCACCCTAACTGGTACTTATGTTCGCTCTTTTCTTTTTCGTCCCCTGGAACCAAGAAGTTCTGACCTAAAGTGCACTGTCTGAACAACGTGTTATAAACATATCCATCACAGATTGGGGAGCAATCAGGCTCAGTTAAGTTTCTCTTTCAAAAACAGTTAATGTTTTTCATAGAAGAAAAAAACCCAAAAACAATAAGAAAGTTCCACTTCCTTGTACTCCACCATTTGCACTGGGTGTGGCTCAGTTCAGTTTGGCTCAGCACACAGTCGTGCTTCATGAATTAGTTTCTGCAAGACTCATTTCTGTTCAGCCAAGTTGATTTCCTTCATTACTTGAAGCCTCTTGAACTCTTCAAGCTATCAGGAATGTTGGGATGAGTGACAAAAATCATTTTTTTGAGAGGGACTAGTTTTCTGCACTATAAGAAATTGGAAATTCCAAGAGGTCTGAAAAAATGGGAAGACATGATTATAGACATACAGGTATATATACATAGGATCATACATTTCAACATGCACACACACACACACACACACACACACAACACTGCCATTTTCACACTGTTTATATATACACATACACTCTCCTTGCTATTTGAGCATCCTTCCTACATAAATATATCAAATTTTGGACAATATAGTATTATATATATACATACATATATATATATAATGGTGTGTACTTGCATTATTTATATATATATATATATATATATATATATATATATATATACACATACAAGTAGTCATTGAGGTCAACCCTATTTTTTATATTTATATACACTCTATCCCTGATATTGAGTACTTTAACCTATAAGTATAGCATACCTTAAAACTATATTTTTATCATATATATATATATATATATGTGTGTGTGTGTGCGTGTAAGAGAAAAGAATGTATATATATATATATATATATATATATATATATATATATATATATATATATATATAAAAAGGGATTTTAATTTCCCAAATGTAACAAAATAACCAAACATGAGAACTTTAAAATTAGATCAGTTGAATCTGCTACCTTTTTTTTTAACCTTTGAGCACTTTTTTTAATACTACTGTTTCCTGGTCTGATTCAATTCTGACCATTAACCTTTTATATATATATATATACATATATATATATATATATATATATATATATATATATATATGTGCATATCACAATATATATATATATATATATATATATATATGTGCATATCATAATATATATATATATATATATATATATATCACAATATATATATATATATATATATATATATATATATATATATATATATATATATATATATATATACATATTCGTCTTCATGCATATAAGTAAATATGATATTGTATATATAAATAAGTTTAAGTATTTTGTATGTGTGTCTATGTATATAAGATAAAGGAAACATTTTGTATGAATATAACAAATCGTAATTCTATGAACACCAAATCAAAAGTTGAAAAAGATTTTTACTTGGAGAATTTCAGCAGAATTACCAGACACTTTATTGTCTTAAGAGGAGGAGGAGAGGAATCCTGTAGAGTAGAGGTTCTTCATTCCAGTTCTGCAGACAAGAAAATAATGATGACCAGATAAAATTGGCAGGTGTTGGTTTATATAGAATTCTAAAATGGAATTGGAACCCTTGGTATCTTTGATTTGGGGATTCTTCAAGGAGTGCAAGAAGAGGTTTTTATAATAGTCTTGTTTATGTATCACATTTGATTTTTTTTTCTTTTGGCTTTTTCCATTATCACAATTATTCCATATGTTTCTCCTTCTTTTCTTTTCTTCTACATCTTCATCATCTTCTTCGTCACCTACATCTTTTTTTCTTCATCTTCATCATTTTCTTCTTCTTCATCTATTTTTTCTTCTTCTAAACTTTCATCATTTTCTTTTTCTTCTTCATCATCATCTTTTTCTTTGTTTTCTTCTTTATTTTTTATATTTCACATATTTTCTCTCTTTATTAAAATATATTCTCTCTTTCTATATTAAAATATTTTCTTTCCCATCAATCAATTTTGTTCCTTTATTGCTCATTCATTTTTTCTCAAATCTCTTTTTCTGACATAAAACCAGTTTTTTCTTTGTGATTTTCACTGTTAAAATTTTTCCTAATTTCCAAAGTTGTGCTTCTATGATTCAATATATCTATTTATAATAACTTGTTTCACTTTTGAGGAAATTTTCTTTTTACTCAATCTTTATAGTTAGCTGGAAAAAAATTTTGTGGAATTTTTAAAGTGAATTTCAGATACTATTTCAATGTTTTTATATACATTTATTCACCATCTTTGAGACAACTTCATGATTCCATCCTCTCAGAACTTGCCATCTTTGAGAGTGATGAACTGGTCGAAGTGGTTTATATAGGCTTCAAGAGTGTTGATGGTCTTCTTATTAAGAGAATTTTATAGGGATTGAAATAAATGCTTAGCTTTTGGTACAAATTCAAGTGCATATAGTAGGTGTAGACTGTCGAAGAACATTCCAGTCAAGCTGTACCATCATTTTCTGTGTCTGCAAAGATGTCATGGAAGACAATGCCATCTGATTGACCAATTCCAGATGCTTTCCTTTTGATTTCTGCTTTTCATTGCTTTTTACCTGAGTTCAACATTTTATTTTGTGGAAGGAAATTTTTAAAGTACAATGCCCTTTCAATTTCACCACCTGCTGCATGTGCAGTTCAATTTTGGAGTAGTTAATAGTGACACATTTCATTTTACACAAAACCTTTTCCACTTCACATTGTTGTAAACAATCCATTTTCCATTGTCTGTAATTGATCTTTTTAAAAATGTATAATTTTTGATGTATTTGAGCAGAGAATCACAGATGAAAACGTAGCCCATTCATCATTTTCATTTAAATAATGAGCCACCTAAACATACCTAGCAATGCATGTAGCCAAGTCTTCAAATACCTCATGATAACCACAATCTGTGTAGCCAAGTCTTTTCAAATACCTCATGATAACCACAATCCATATAGTCAAGTCTTTTCAAATATCTCATGATAACGACAATCCATGTAGCCAAATCTTTTGAAATACCTTATGATAATCATGAGTTACATAAAATATCACTGTGATATCTCATATCATGTGACACAGATTATTTTTAATCAGTATCAATTTAGAGATCATTAACAACTGCAGGCCTGCCAGAATTTTCTGGACCTAAAAAGCACTTAAGAGGAGTACTTTTAGCTCTGGCACCCATTCAATAAATGTCACATATTATTTTGCTGTTTGTGGAACTTTTTTTTTTAGATTACGAAAATGCATCTTATTTTCCTCCATTTTCACTTTTAATGTAAAAACAATTATAATTCACAATTCCCACATGTATTGTACAGATAATTGCATTGAAATATCACATTTCAGCATTTGTTTAAATGTCATAGATTTCAGTCAGATGTTAAAGAAAATCCCATGTTCAAATTCTACCTCTTACTATACAAACTTTTGTCCAAATCTGGTATATCTGAAATTAAAAAATTATTATCAACAGCTATATTATTACATATATATCTATATGCAATATAGATATATATGTAGATGCATAAAAATTTTCATAATACCAAAATTATTATTATAATTATAGTATAACTGAGATTCAGATTTTTATCATCTAACTAGCAGAAGAGCCCGGTGTTGCCCGGGGATATAACAGTGAGAGATAGATCAAGTATCGACCATCATAAAGACTGAAAAATAAAATTGAGAAAGATTATTGTTTAAGGTTGATGGACACATATGTCTTAATTAGTTTTTAGTTTTTTTTTTTTTACGAATTGGTCAAACCCAAACTCAAACAAAAACATTGTTTTCAATCATTATGAGTCTATCGATTGAATAGAATTTTATTATAAACAATTGTCTTGTAAATGGAATTTTTAAAGCATTCTGAATGTAAAAATAAAGAAAAAAGTGTGCAAGACAATAAGAAACACTACCTGCCAAAAAAAAAGTGAAGTTTTGTTGAAATCGGTTGAAAAATATAGGAAAACTGATCCCATATATAAACGAACACACACACACTCAAACAACCTGGGTTTTATAATAAGGATAACTCGATATGAGTTGTCCCCCTTTCATTCTGGTGACAGAATCGTGTTTTATCGTGTTTTCAATTTTATTTCATGCAGAACCACCGCAAGGTAATTTTACACAGTCCTGTGAAGTTTTGTTGAAATCGGTTGAAAAATGTAGGAAATCCGATCCAATATATAAACGTACAG